AGTACTGCAACATAAGATGCCACAGGTATTCAGAATTTTACAACGCTTTTACAAGTAACAACTTTATAATGGAAGTATATCAACCTAGTCAAATCAGAAGTCAGAAATGAAAGGGTTAAAGGGTACATTTGGAAACATATTGATGTGTCCAGAAGCGTTTGGTTCAAGCTGGCTAGAAGTTGCAAGGAATGAGAAGCACGGCGAACACACTCTTGACCTTGTGTGGATGCGTGATCGAGCGACTTCAGCTAGAGTGTAACCAGTAAAACTAATGAAATCAGCGTCAAAGTTGTAGACTTACAGAACTATTTATTTTAAGGATTTATTAACCGCTAATCAACCATTAACAATATACTGGCATTTATAAACAATTGTCTACGCAAGATACTCTATGTCCGTTGGTCGGATACGATCAACAACGACCTACTGTTGGAGAGAACAAACCAACTTCCAGCTGAAACGAAATAGGGAAAAGGCGCCGGAAGTGGATAGGACATACATCACGGAAATCATCAAACTGCATCAGGAGGCAAGCGCTAGCTTGAAATTCTGAAGGGCAACGGAAAAGAGGAAGTAGACATTAAAAGAATGAATAGCTGTCTGAAACAACTGGAAAGGATTGCCGGGTACAGGTTGTTGTAGAATCCTGATGCCGGTGAATGCTTCTCCATGAGGGTTAACAGGCGCAAGTGAAGTGAGGTAAATTATATTTCAGAATATTCTTCAATGATGTGGTATAAACAGAACAAGGTTTTTTTGTGCTAATTTGAATCCGTCTAACTAATCAATATTAAAGCTTCTTGTATTGCTAATAATTTTGAAATTAACTCGTAAGTGAAATGAAGATTATTCTAGTGGTATATACTAGGTTTCAAGGATCACAAATTGATGAATTGATGATGAATAGAAACATACAAATCTTACGACCACTAAAATCCACTTTTGAATTCTTGGTTATCCTATAAGCTTCACTAGAAATAAAAACAAAAACACCACAAATGTTATGCGATGTAAATTGGGATAGTTTATGAAATATAGCTTAAAACTAAATTATCAGGATGGGTTTTGTGGAGATTTTAGAAATTTCACTGGTTGAAATCATAAAGTCAATTGAAGCTAGACCATCTTATTGTGTACTGAACTTTAGTTTCACTTGTATACAATCAAAATGCAAAGTTAATTTAAAGAGATTGTATGCGGAATTATCATTCACTTTTTCGAAAGCTCCGTAGGAAAGTTTCCGCTTGTTACTTCGAACCAGTTTAGCAAATATCATTCAATGAAACATAAATTCCTCGCTACAAAAAATAATTACTTCATGTATTGTGATATTTACAATAAAATGAAAAACAAAAAAACCGAATCGTTATCCTTCTTACCACACCCAAAATCACTAAATAGCTGATGATTTATGGCTAAACTGAATATTTCAAAGCGATTTCAACATACAAATTAAATAAAATATATTCAACATTTAACTTAATCATATTATGAATTACTCTGCCAGAATACCCTCCACATTTTTAATTATATTTAATTAAATGACTCTACTTTTAAGCCCAACCCATTAATAATTATTTCACGAATTATGAAGTGTTTTCACTCAATTATTCAACTTTTTAGGATTCATGGTTTTAACTATTGTATTTTCTTTAGTAATCAATACTAAAGTCATAACTAAACAGTGGCCCATGGAAGCTCATAAAATTTCACCGTTATAACTGGTGATAGAAATCAGACATCTGCCATATTATTATTATTAGGAAATACAAGCAGATCAATCGTTTTCTTGAATTTTCAACCTATTTTATTCTTCTCGGTAAATCAATCTAATCTTGACTTTTCTTCTTGTCATACCAAGTATACAATAAGTGAAGCTCATTTCACAAGGTTATGTCAGTTTTCCAAAAATTAAGTATTTTTCATGATGCTTGATTATTGTTAAATAAATATATGCCAGACCTTATTTAATAATCAAAATATCCTCACAATCTTAAGATGGTGAAGATTTGTAACTCAGATGGATGATTTTGTTGGAGTTTTTTTCTCTGACTCCAACAAAACCCTCAATCTTATAAAATCAACATTTCAAATATGAAAGTTACTGTAAATTCCCAACATTTTGTATATTGGCCTTGTTGCTGATTTTTAATAAAGGGATGATACAACCTACAAATGTCTCTTGTAAGAATTCGTTTGTTTAAACTAAACCTGAATATCTAATGATCTTATCTATTCTGTAAATGATTGATATGTTATTATCACCTTTGATCTCCAACATTCATTTTAATACAATTGTTTAGAAAACATAAAGAATAAGTTTACGATATCTTGTTTTTGGTGCATATTCACTGATCTATTTACCAACCTTTAATTATTGCAACAAAAACATTTTAGCCATCTTACTACACGTTACTACTACACGTTATAATTCGTTACTAACTTACTAAGTCTATTGTTATTATTCGTATCACGTAATCTAGTATTAGAATCTATAGCGTCATAATAATTTCAAAACACAATATCTTTTTTTATAATTAGTGGACATAGATAAATGCTCGACTCGTATTGATCATACGTCACTTGTGTAAAAAATAGGTGTAAATCGTAATAAGCGATTTTCAAGAAAGTCTATTTTCTGTTCAATAGATTATATGGTTTGTTATGGATTATCAAAAATATATAAATCATACTACCGAATAATATGGGAAACTTTATATCCATTTTGGCGAATATTCATATTTAAAATTACGCACATCAAACCCATTATGTAACTAGAACGGATTAATCTGATTTACAATTTTGCAAAGACTAAATATGTTTGAATTTTAGCTGAATTAAGGTAATCACCAAGACATCTCGAATCTAGATTTTACGCTACTTGACTCGTACAGAAAAATTCTTATAATAATCTTGGGGATCTGATGTTCCCTATATTCTAATAAAAACTGAAAATTTAGACTCAATAACCTGACAACACAGTGTAGCAATTTTTGATTTGTTTATGCATCAATTTGATTATTAATATCAATAAAAATGTGTATTAAATTCATGCAAGTAGAAGAGAATAAAACACAATTTGAATGTACATTTTAATCAGTATCATAGAATGATTCATTAACTTGTAGTTGAAATAAATCATTTACTTGGTGAAAAAAATCTAAGTAGGTTACATCCTCCTCCTTTGTAACACATAGGAACATACCCGCTAGACAATTGATTATTTGATTTAACCACATTCATGAATTCAATATAAATCAGTGATGTACTCACTGATTTATATTTGTTTCAGTGTTTGCCCCCAAATGCCCTGGTACGGCCGAGAGTGGGGAGAGTCCGCTCTCCCTCTCGAAATGCTCTCACATGGCTACACGTACATAGCCTCTGCCACGGAAGTCCTACTCACTGTCTTCTCGTGGCATTACTGTTGTTCATGAAATCGAGAGGTCGAAAAGCGAATTTCCGGCGCTTTAATCGGGTTGGTGGATATGGAGAGTCCACCTAGGGGAGTTGGAAAACCTTGATTCCAAACCAATAGTGCACATGGGCTCCAGTATCCTGAGGGAACGGATGGCGTATGAAGCAATCGTTGGTCACCGGCTACCATGAGACTACATCTCCTGATGTTTCTCCACTGCCTTGTGGATCAGACTTTCAGGTCGAAGGTTCCGGATGTGGCCCCTTAGGAAAACCACCTACTTCGGTTTGGGCACTCGGGCAGTATCACAGCCCTCACACAAATCGAATGATTTGTGTGGCGCATATGTATTTGGTGCCTTCTTGTACCAATGTTTATGTGCTTAAATAAATAAATAAATAGTTTCAGTGATGGAGAAGATTTGTAGCTCAGGTGGATGATTTTGGTGGAGTTTTGTTCTCTGAGCTGGATGGTTTGATCGTGAAGCTTTCATCGTTCTTCTGAACGACATCATCAGCACAAACTTCAAATAGAAGTGAAGTGTTCGAATCTCTCCATATGTGTTTCACAGCTTGTTCTGTGCACCTCGATGTTGATTGGTTCCTATTGACCTTAAATTTATCATTGTTTACTTCTTTTTTTGGCTGTGTCTCCCATTGGTTTGATTTTGTTCCTATATTTATGCATGATTTTCCTGATTGGTTGATAAATTGGATTGATTTCAATGTTTGTTGATTGCTGATTGACCTGAGCGCCAGGCTTCTAAAAATTCTCTGGTGTTTTTGGAGTTTCCTCTGTCTAAGATTTCTACATTTTTCCAATCGAATGAGTGTCCGTATTTATCCACGTGTATTGATATAAGTGAAGAGATATCATGGCGTTTGACTGCTAATTGATGTTCATGTAGGCGAAGGTGGAGGGGGCGTCCGCTTTTTCCGATGTAGTGTTTGTCGCAGTTGGTACAATTTATTTTGTAGATGATGTTTGATTTGTTTTCTTTTGTTATTTCATCCTTTGGTTAGCATAGGATTGATTGTAGTGATTTTGTCGGTTTGTGTGCCACACCTATCCCGAGGGTTTTCAGCAGTCTCGTTGCGGTTTCTGATATTCCTTGTATGTACGGTAGGGTGATCCTTTTGTTGATTTTTGTGCTTGACTTGGATTCTGATGCTGCGTGCGGTTGGTGTTTCGTGAATAAATTGATTGGGTAGCCGTTGTTTTGATATCTGTCCTTCAGGAATTTCTCTTCATTTTTTCGTGCTGCCAGTGTGCTGCAGCACACAAAACTCCACCAAAATAGTTTCAGTGTTTATGATACAATCATCTTCACAGACGATAATGTGATTATGATAAATTTATGATACAAATATTTATTTTTAAAGAGAAAATACTTGTCCTCATAATAAAACATCCATGTTCGTTCAATGTTTCCTATCGATTGCCATAGATTACTATTTTATGTTATTGAACAAAATATATTTTTTTTTTCAAAAATGTACTCATGATAACAGTCAAAATATGAAGAAAAATAATCAATAAAATAGTTACATATAAATGATAGAATTGCATTGTTTTAAATGGGTCAAATAGATAGAGTATTTAGAGTAAATTTAAATTGGTCCAATATGGAAGTAGTAGTAGTAGTAGTAGTAGTAGTAGTAGTAGTAGTAGTAGTAGTAGTAGTAGTAGTAGTAGTAGTAGTAGTAGTAGTAGTAGTAGTAGTAGTAGTAGTAGTAGTAGTAGTAGTAGTAGTAGTAGTAGTAGTAGTAGTAGTAGTAGTAGTAGTAGTAGTAGTAGTAGTAGTAGTAGTAGTAGTAGTAGTAGTAGTAGTAGTAGTAGTAGTAGTAGTAGTAGTAGTAGTAGTAGTAGTAGTAGTAGTAGTAGTAGTAGTAGTAGTAGTAGTAGTAGTAGTAGTAGTAGTAGTAGTAGTAGTAGTAGTAGTAGTAGTAGTAGTAGTAGTAGTAGTAGTAGTAGTAGTAGTAGTAGTAGTAGTAGTAGTAGTAGTAGTAGTAGTAGTAGTAGTAGTAGTAGCAGTAGTAGTAGTAGTAGTAGTAGTAGTAGTAGTAGTAGTAGTAGTAGTAGTAGTAGACAGAAGCTATGAAGGATTTTTGTTACATATTGACTACAGTATTGATAAACTTTTTGTTTAGTTTTAGACATCACTAAACTTTTCCAAATATTCTATTTTAACTGTTATTTGGTCATGTAATTTGCCAAACATTTTCTTTGTTTGATCTTAACTAAAACTATTCATCTTCTATGAATCACCTTACAACTGATTATATTTGTCACTAATCCATCTCCGGTTAGTCTGATAGTTTACAAAGAAAAATAGCGTTAGCGAATGACATTTTGGATATTCTGGAACTCCCACCAGTACAAGTAAGGAATGAATACACAAACAATTTATACTTATTGATGGAACATTATTATAAGCAACAAAATGTCTGTGTAGTACTTCAAGAACTGATTTGATTGTACTATATATAGTATTGAATAAAGTGATTACAATGGTAATTGAATGTTTTAATTTGGTTCTTAATTACATAAAGTTAAAGTATTTCTGTATGGTATAGCTTGTTTGTATATGATCAAATAAGTTCTCAGTATTAATTCAAGTAACTAAAAATAAACAATAATAAGTATAAATTTATCAATGCTTACATTGATTAAGAGGAGTATGTAATTCTAATCTAGTCTTTGAAAACCAACTCAATTAAGGGCAAGACAATAGCTATCCAAACTCAGTAGCTAAGTATATAAAGTTATGGTGTTTGAAGTGATAGGCACTAAGTTTGAATCGTAGAATGAAAATCAACTCCGAAATCAAGATGCATTCAGTTAATCACTTCCGAATTGGACTAAATATCTTAATTAAATATTAATAGTAGTTTTTTAGTGATCATATATGTTATTAAAACAATTGATTTCTTTCATAATATTATTATAGCATTGTAAAGGATAATTTTCTAATCTAATCAAGCCAACTAGTAGAATAATTCCCATTTAAACAATAAAATTAAAACACGAAGTTCAGCGAAGGGATCTCTTTTCAACGAGTAGGAACTAGAACTTCATTACTCAAAAGAAATTTCCTTATCTGTAGGTTTGTCTTCCAGTTAAAGTGAATTTAAGCCATTCATAAAAAAATTTCCTACAATCGAATCTTACTCGAAATTACTTTCTAATTATAAATTTATACTATTTGGCATTAGTTATTGATAAATGGTATCAGTAATATCTTCATAATAAACTTAGTTATCTATTACGTATGTTTTAAAAAAAGCAATCATCATTCAACGATAATAAAACTTGTAATTTCAACTATATAATGAAGTACTAGTAGTAAATCTCTAATTTCTATTCTGAATATAAATTTTTTTTTGAATTTTATAAATTTGGATCTAAATCACACGATAATGATTTGTATCTATAAGAATTTCGAAAGAAAAAGATTTTTCTTTTAAAACTTTAATTACCGATAGAATAATAAATGAGAAATTTTTCTTTTGTAATTTATTATATTATCCAATAAATATTTATTTAATATTAAACTCATTGTGATCAATATTAATATGTGACACTGGAATTTTTCTATTTCTATACATGATCACTATAGTATTTATATACATCTTCAAATTCATTTATAATTTCAATGGTTAAGATCATGAGTTAGTTGAAGCTAGACCATTATGGAAAACCTGAAAGCATTAGACGGCCGTTTCGTCCTATTGTGGGACTCCTCAGCAGTGCGCATCCATGACTCATGATCTTAACCATTGAAATTACTATAATATTCACAAAACCCATCTCATTTATAATTCTTTTTTAAAGACATTTAGGTGAGACTATAATTTATGGACGATCAATGAGCGACGCTAAAGTGACCTTGAGAGTGTTTACCCAATTACTAGGGTTGATTGAAGGTTATAAAGCAGTTTGAAAAATAAGGATTATGATTCACAGTTGATGGTTCGGTTTAGGAATTAGATTTACAATTTTTCATCATGAACTGACATTAGCTATAATGTCAAGACTCTATATAGCCAAATGGGTGAATGAATTTCGTGCCGAAATTGGAGACCTGTCATTGTAAATCTTATTGGTTTGTCCATAAATTATAATCTCGCCGACACATGAATTTCATTAGAAATATTGTTACTCTTAAATGATTAGCTGTTTTTTGTTGTTGAATAAATAGGACCTGTCTTTTATGTTTCTTCTAGAATTTATTAATCTTGACTGTATTTAAGGTTATTGCTCTAAATTAACCCTTAAACACTTATTAATTACATACAATTAGTTTCGTTTACACAACATTTTTATTACTCTAATGAATACTCAACAACTGAAATCTTTTGATAACTCAATAAATTCATTGGTTGACATGATACCCCTCCATTTTTTGATATATTTTTATGTTTATTACTTAAATAAGTTCGACTATCTTTGATAATTCTGTTCAAAGATTCATAAAATGCCCAAAGATTAGGTCTAAGGTCAGGTTTTAATTGATTGAAGAATGGTGCATTGTTCATTCACCCACTCATTGCAAAGCAAACACAGTATCGTTTGTCTGGACCACTGAACTGGCTTCCTTTGGTGTGAATGTCTAATTTCAATCAATTGGTGATATTACTCGACCGTCTCACATTGCCTTTGGTGGATAGCTGTCTCATACACAACATGGTTGAATTCTGAGGATTACCTCTCGACAGACTAACTCATTCATGTTTAAAAAGTCAAATGTAATGTTAGTCAATCGTGTCGATAGATTTGATGTAACTTTATACATTTCCCCAATTAACATTGTGATAATACCATATACACCAGTTGTTATTAACTTTTTCGCCGTGAAAAATATATATGGTAACCTGAAATGTATCTTCAGGCCAAAGAAATTGACTGTCCTATGAACCATTTTGGAAACATGTTTGTGAAATGGACATACCATAATGGATTCGCACTTACACATCATCGACGCACGTCAGTTGATAGCTGTAATAACAAAAAAGTGACGGTACTAATAATGCTAAATTTTCTTCAAAACTATGGCTTAAAGCATATGATGCAGGATATAGCTGATAGTTGAAAGCTTGCTTAGTTTATAACCTGTTAAAAATTATGTTTAAATATGTATAGACAGAGGTCTTGACACATATAAATAAACTAAACTCTGAATAATGAACCAAATAATTTAAACCTTTTATAAAGCGTTTAAAATAAAATAACAAATGATCTGATATTAAACAATTAATTACAGCGGAGTCACGAAAATGATCTCATATGAATTACACGTTTAACAAGAGGTTTTTGTTAAATTACATGTGGACGCTTTTTGAAGCCGTAAAGTTTAATCATAACAGTCAAACAAGAAAAAATGGTTTACACAAGTAAAAAATATTCCGATAATGTTTGGTTATATAATAAATGTTGTATACACTCCAAAAATTAGGACTTTACTCTGTAAAGGCGATTAGATCATAGATCAAAACAGAGATAATTCACTTAGAACATGAGAGTTCCTATCAAGTAACAGCATAAATATGTACCAAGAACAAAATTTATGAGAATATTTTATGCGACTAGAAAATGACTGAGTCCAGCTTTTGTAATACAAAGTGTTCATTGAAAGGTTTCATCTGAAAAGTGCTGATTATAACAATCAGTTATATGCAATCCTTGACGGGATCATATGTGCACATTACTGACGAGGCAAAAAACGGTAGAGCTATTTAATGCCCCTGATTTTGAATAATTATCTAGTTAGAGTTACTACATGATGTAAATCATAAATAAAAAATTTAGAAACATTTTTTTATTACTTTCAGTCGACAAGAAGTAGCTAAATTTCAAAATAACATTACCACTTTTTGACTGTAGAAGATAATGTATACCATTACAAATTAGAGTTTTAAACCTTATTCACCGATGATGCATTCATTTGTGAACGATATTGATAAATAAACAATTAACTATCGATCATCAATAAAAACATATTCAATGGTAACATTCTGTTCAATTTTCATAATGGTCAAAATTGTGTAGTGTTACTAGGGGTGTTTAGCGCTCATCCAAATAATAACAAAATTTAAACTAATAAATAATGTCAGAAGGGTTTTGTGGATATTAGAGTATTTTCAATTGTTGAGATCATGAGTCAATTGAACATTGTTGAACATCATAATTGATTTGTGTTATCCTAATAATTAAAAAAAGGATTACAACATAATTAATGATTAATTGTTAATGAATAATGATGAAAACTGATGTTGATTGAAACTATCTAATACTCTATTACTGACAATAATCAAGTTAAATAGTTCATTTATGATTGATAACAAGAAGTGGGAAAGAAATAAGCTCAGAAGGGGTTTTTGTGGATATTATAGTAATTTAAATAGTTGAGATCATGAGTTAATGGAGACTAGACCACCATGGAAAACGGCCATCCAGTGCTTCCAAGTTTTCCATGGTGGTCTAGCTTCAATTAACTCATGATCTCAAATATTGAAATAAATAATGTTATAAAGTTATTCTCATATTACTAAGAGTATGTATGGATTTTTTTTATCGTTACAGCTGATTTTCCAGAATTGATGGAAAGAGCATGCAAACATACACATCTATCATACTATTTCTTTTAGATATTCCTCTATTTATACATATTGATGAATTATAATTTATTAAAGAAATATTATTTTAAACTAGTCGTATCTGCGTTTTAATATATTGAAAATTGAAGACAACTGAAATCTTAATTCTTTATTATTCCTACTACAATATTCGGACTTACATTTTTTGTTGTAAAAATTAAATATAACTAAGTGCGATCACTAAATCTAAATACCTACTACTTTGTCAACTGATAGATTTTGAATTCTAATAGTTGAGATCATGAGTTAATTGAAGCTAGATCATCATGGAAAACCTGAAAGCACTGGATGGCCGTTTCCTCCCATCGTGTGACTCTTCAGCAGTGCACATTCCGAGGTTCGAACCCAGGACCCGTCGGTTTCGCGCTCGAACGCTTAACCTAATCGGTTTTGTGCGGCGGCGCTTAACCTCTAGACCACTGAGCCAGTAGCTAACGGTGTTAATGTCTAATTTCAACTAATCTAGGAAATCGAGCGACACTACTGAGAAGTCTCATAATAGGACGAAATGGCCGTCCAGTGCTTCCAGGTTTTCCATAGTGGTCTAGTTTCAACTGACTCATGATCTCAACTATTAAGATTTCGAATTATTGAAAATCATTACAATCTTTGAAATAATAATTAAAATTGAATTATTATTATTATAAGACTGATATTTAAACGAAGAATATTCTTTTCGATTAATTCTCTTCAGGTCCTACAATTATATGTCGAAATGAATAATCTGAAAAATGGCCAATTATTTATCCGGTCATTAATTTTTTGCCAAAGTTTGTCAGACTTAAAGTCCTTCAAACGGCTGAAGCAGTAACCATCCAGATGAAGAGACCTGAGTTATGCGTACAAAATAATTATCTGTAACCACTTCTCCCCCCATGGCCAACCCCAAGGCCAATTAGTCAATAATAATCTATTGACTGACCTAATTTAACTATTATACTGACGAACTTTCGTAGTCAAATGTAGTGGTTTCTGTTATCTTTATTCACAAATCTTCATATTATTATTATTATTATTATTATTATTATTATTATTAAGTTTCCTATTTCAAATGAATTCAAAAATTATCCCAATCACATTGTGTCCCATTAAGTAGACAATGAAAATGATAATAATTTATATCAGTACACATAAGAGTGATTGTATTTAATGTATGTATATGAACTTTTAAAAAAAGTTGAGATATCTTCTGATTAACATATTCTTCGATTCGAGCTTGTTGTTGGACGTTAAAGCTATGAACTACCATTCATTTTTAGCATAAATTTACAAATTATCAAAGTCTTTTTATTAAAGTTGATAACGATAGTTTGACGGAAATATGTATCATTAATAAACTTTCTTTCTGGAAAAATTTTTTGTTCGAGATTCTTTATCTCGAGATAACTTATCACGTGCTAAACAGTAAGATTTATAAACATTATGTAACTATTTTCACAATAAACGCCCCAGCAAGACTCACTTATTAACCATGATGTAAAGAATAATTGGAGAGGTCAATTCAATAGCTTCATGGGATGTCGAATATCCTGAACATTTCTTCGGATATCGTTATATATGATCTGTCTGAAAGCTGATAATTTAAATCATACAAATTAACTTTTATTTTGTAGTCTGTATGAATAAGTTAATAGGCACTCTGAACTTGAAACAATAATTCCAGAGCCTGTATTAACCGAGCACTCAATGATCACTAATAGATATTTTTCCTAACAATTATTCTATTCACTTTTCAATACAATTTATTTATTATTATCAAAACAATTACATATATTTATTTTTATTTATTTAAGAGAAACTTGAAACCCAGCTGTGAAACACATATGGAGAAATTCGAATCCTTCACTTCTCTCTGAAGTTTGTGCCGATGTCGCTGCTTCAGGATTGGGTTGCATCGACACCCAAACTAATGGCAGGGAGTGAAGTAGTTGAGAGTGTCGACTGCTTCACTTATCTTGGGAGTCTCGTCAGCCCTTGTGGTCTGGTGTGTGACGAAATCTCAGCACGGATACAGAAGGCTCGACTAGCTCTTGCCAACTTGCGTCATTTATGGCGTAGGCGAGATATCCATCTATCAACCAAAGGACGTGTTTACTGCGCAGCAGTTCGTTCCGTCCTACTTTATTGCAGTGAAACATGGCCGGTAAGAGTAGAGGATATTCGTAGGTTACTAGTATTCGATCTTAGGTGTCTTCGAAATATTGCTCGTATATCCTGGGACCATTGAGTAAGTAATGTAGTTGTTAGGAAACGGGTACTAGGTAAGGATGGCAAATCAATTGATGACGTAGTGAAACTTCATCAGTTGAGATGGTTGGGATATGTGTTACGTATGGTCAACCACCAACTGTCTCGACGAGCGATGTTTTATGATGTAGGAGTAGGTTGGAAGAAATCTAGGGGCGGTCAAACCAAAACATGGCACAAGTCCATGAAGTCACTGACAAGTGGACTGAGTCATGTTCGTAGGTGTAGACTACCTGGTTGGGGACCGCGAGACGATATCAACCGATGGTTAGAGACCTGGAATGACATGGCTCAAAATCGTCTGCAATAGCGCAAGTGCATCCACTCCGTGAATAACGTCTTCAAACCCTGATCTTTCCAATGACGGCTTATGCTTTTACTACCTCTACCATTATGGGATTTGAGTAGACAATCGTGTCTCTGTGGTAATGTGGTATGGTAACTTGAACTGATGTACGTACGTACGAAGTTCTACGTTGTTATTAACTGACTGATTGAAATTATAGTCTCGCCCCTTTCATCTATCTATTGTAAATGTACACATGAAAATTGTTTTATTTTAATTTTAAATTAATTGAGTATACTAGGAGTATATTTTAAACAAAAAACAAAATTAAAGATTTATGAAAATGGCAGAATTTTCAACAGTTATGATTAAATATATGTAACAACAACGATGAGATCATTGATATTTTTTATACAAGTATGTTGATATATTTAGAAAACAATTTAATGAAGATGTATTGTCTGTATATGGAAGGTTTAAATCATTATCATTTATATAATATATAATACATGTACATGAATTCTGGTATAAAAATTGTTGATAATACTTATAAGCATGTTGTGGAAGTGTGTATATATTGTGTATTAGTAACTTTTTCTGTATACAGTATAGTATAACAAAATATATCAATTCTTAATGAAGAATGTAAAACAAAATGCGATTAGTTATAGTAATAGTGAGAACAAATTCTTAAGAGCACATATGAAGACATACGCATTCGAAAATCTATTCTCTTATTTGACTTATTTAATTCCGTTATTCACCAACGCGGATCAAGTCGATAATTATATACGAGGATAGAAGACATGTATATTTCAATAACTTTCGTCCGATCCATGGGAGTCAGATATTGGGCCACTAAAATGTGGTGTTCATACTATCTGATTAATGGATATCAGATTTTATTTTATGGAATGTATTTGAATTAAATTATGTTGTGACATAAGTTGATCAGAAAATTATGAATTTTAAAGGGAGTAGCAATGTATCAACATAGTCAGCTAGACAACAGATGATTAATTAACAATTATTATTATTATTATTATTATTATTATTATTATTATTATTATTATTATTATTATTATTATTATTATTATTATTATTATTATTATGTAACTAAGATAACCTATATTATTAAGTAACATTAATTACGATATATTCGTAAGTGCTTTATTATTTTGTTGCATTTCAAAGTTCAATTTGACATTCAGATGGTTTACAGACAGATTTTATCAGTTTAGGGGTTGTGGAGATTGTTAAGATTTGATTGAGATCATGAACCGATTGATGTCAGACCACCACTGAAAACCTGGAAGCACTGGACGGTCGTTTCATCCTGTTGTGGGACTCCTCAGCAGTGCTCACCCACGATCCCGCTCGCGGGTTTCGAACCCAGAGTCTTCAGTCTCGCGCTCGAACGCTTAACCTACTGGATCAATGAGCCGGCATCCAATGGTGTTAATGTCTAACCTCAACCAATCCACGAAATCACGCGACCATCTTCCATTGTACTGAGGTAGACTTTTTGATTATGCTCATATACTTTTTCAATAGATTCATTTTTATTTGACAAAGTTATAAGCTCAAATCTGTCGCAACAATATTTTAGTGCTCTTGGAAAACGCCCATATGCTTATTTCTGTTGAAAGTACCCTTAATCAGTTATGATTCCATAGGCATCAACGTTTAATAAGCTAAAAATAATGATACTCTAATCATTTTGTCAGTAGTGTGTTTAACAGTACTGTATATTTATCAAGACTCATTAATTACGTGTTACGTTTACCTTACTCCAAGTAAGCTACGTATGTACACTGTATATATATAGCCTGATGGCGATATACTAATGACAGCTGAAATAAAAAAACGTCATACTCCAACAACTTACTTACGCCTGTTACCCTTCTTGGAGGAGCATATGTCGCTCACCAGGATTTTCCATCAGTCATTTCCAGAGTATTCAAACAGCTAAAGTATACCACTATTAAAACGTAAAAATAGCACTTGAACACACAAAAAAAGAAACTACTAAGACAAATTTCCTTTATCTTCATGGCATTGCGATTATTACTTTTAAATGGTAGTTTATAAAACCTCACTATTTACTTATTTCTGACTCAAAAGTTGCTTTTGTCTAGTAAGCTCATAATAAGGACACGTTCATCGTCCAGTCAACTTTTACTTACCATAGACATTTATGAACATGATCAAATCGGTCAAAAACAACAAAGTTTTCTTCATGATATAAATAACTGACATCACTGAATCCATAAATGTTTAACCGATACAATATTTCATGGAAAACTAAAAACTGATGTCACCACATTTGCATGTTTCAATTACTACTTGTGTTAGAAGTAAATAATAAAATAAAAACAGTTTACGGATCAAAAGCAGGGGTGATAAACATCTATAGTGCATTAACTGTAAAAACCAGACTGTAGTGTTCACATAAACTAATGAGTCGTTTGTACTTGATTTGCTGCCAGATTTCGAATCCCAAATACAATACTTTCGCTTGTGCTTACGTGGTTCTGTTTGGTTTAAATTACGCTATTTCGGATATTCCTAGTTCGTATAATAATTCAAATACTTCTAGTTATCATATTGGCGTCGTGATGGAGCCTGTGATGGAACAGTTGGACACATCCAAATTCTGAAGCTTTCGAGGATTTTATGGAAAGATTCAAAATCTGGACTCATAGTCCAGGAAGATATGAAGGATGATAAAATTGTGGCACATTTCCTCACATTCATCTGGAAAGAAGCCTACAGTTTACCAAAACCTTTGGCAATTCAGCAAAGGCCTATTTCACTTCCTTATGCAACTCTCAAGGAACTTGTAGTGACCAACTTTTATCAAGAGAACGCGATTGGTTTAATGGAAACAATTATTATTATAACCAATTGTACCAGTGATTATTTTACTCAACTTGCTTGTTTATCTGTACTAAAGACATTCCTCCCTCCTTTGATTGTGAACTTGAACGGATTCGGTTACTCTCAGTAACCACACTTGTACTCCTTTGGCACGATCTCGGTTTTCTTTCGATACCACGAGGTCGCCAACGAATACATCTCGACTACAGCCATCAACTGCCTTCTGATATTTGGCTTACGGGGGATCTTATCGGTTAGCTGGCACGTAGTCTTCTTGTAGTGGTGAGCATAGCCAACCGCGACTCGACGCCACACTGCAAACTAATGCTAGACCATGTAAAGTCTATAAATTTCGAGTGCGGCAAAGGAGGAAAATTTCATATAGTGATTCATCAGGACAATAATAATCCCACTACATTACTACGTCATCCCAATCCAATGCGTACTCAAAGTTATCCCGATAAAAATTCATTGAGGAGTTTCGAAGCATGTCACGAAGATGAGCACAAGTCTAGTGAATGTTTGTCCTGTGGAAAATTCCACTCATGTACCTCATATGTATTTCATAATGCTAAATGCCTTTAATGTGGTAAAATTGGACACATCCAGCCAGTTAGTAAAATTAACATTAATTTCTCTGCAAGTAATGTTTAACTTTGTAGTTTCGATCCTATAAAGTTGAATGTTCCAAATGAATCATACTCTGATCAGACTCATGACATTGCTTTACCCAACATGCGTTGTCCTCGTGACTCATGTATTTCCAATGAGATTATGTGGTGTTTGAATGAACCAATGATACCTTTGTACTGGTTGAATGTTTGATTTCGAATTCTAAATGCAATACATTCGTTTGTGCCTGTGTCTTCTTAGTTCAATTGCGTTAATCCTGGAATTCCTAATTCATACGAGAATTCGAATATTATATTGGCGTCGTGATGGAACCTGCAATGGAAAAGTTGGATATTCATTCAACTCCTGAAGCTATTGAGGATTATTTGGAAAGGTTCGAAATTTGGAGCATGACCAAGAAAGATGTTAAAGGTGAGAAAATTGTGGCACATTTTCTGACATTCATTGGGAGAGAAGCGTACAGCTTATTAAAAACTTTGGCATATCCAGAAAAACCTATCTCACTGACAAACACGCGCGATTTTCGAACGGGAAGTTTAGTCCTAACGTGATTTGCATATATCAAACTTTTGCTGTGTTCTTACGCAACAAAAGTACCATTTCAGTTCTAAAAAATCTATCCTGAGCTATACGTTCGGTAGATTACTTTTTTTTTGAGTTTCACTATATTTAATAGTTACCTGTGGTTTTGCCTCAGCTTACTATTCGGTTTTTTTTGTTTTTCACGTATAGACTAGTTTCAGTTTATATCACTCGTTTTGTCCGTTTTTGTCCTTTTTCAGTGTGCATTTTAGTGTTTTTTTTAAAAAGGTCTTAAGCTTTTGCCAGCATCTATAACATAGTTTGCTTCAACACCGTCATGAAAAACTCATGCAAACGTCCGGGATGCCGTTTTGCTGTCACAACTGGCATGCAGTGTGACAACTGCAAAGGTTGGTTTCACGAAGCATGCACAAATCTGACAGCAACTGCTTACAACAAACTCAGCAAGTCAGACCAAAAGTGGGTATGTGTCACGTGCAACACGGACGCAGTAGTCTTGCTGAGTAACATCATTGTCCTACTGACAGGTCTTCGAAACAAGCTGTCAGTTAATTTGGAATACGACAGTAAAAAAACCGATATACAAACAAGAGCGCGCAACGGACTCAAAAATAGGGATGTCGATAGGTATGTCATCGATGGAGCATCCATCAACACTAACGACGACGTGTCGAGGCTCAGTACCATCATTACGTCGACGGTACTAGACTCCCTAGGCAAACTCGGGTCTCCCAGCTCAGGGTCGCTGAACACAACAGTGGTTCCCAAAAACCCTGCAGGCGATTCGACCCACGTTAAGAGAGCCCAAAAGAACCAGGCATCACCGCCTAAGCCGAGCAACCCAAGTGTTGCTGCACGGAAAATAACTGGTGATTTAGTCGCACAGTCTACCCCCAAGACTGTTCGTCCGGTCAATAAAGAGCCCAAGATTCATAAACGCACACTGACCTCCAAAAAACAAGTTATTAAACCTGAACCCATCGTGAAACCTGGTAAATTAACAACAGTTCGTGACGATTCTCTCATTATCATGAACCTCGTCGACAATCCTGACCTTCCTCTCAGTCTGCAGGATAAAAACGACAGGATGCTGTGGGGTGAATTGAACAAAAAGCTCGAACTTCCTAGAATAGAGCCTTTGACGGTCACCCGGCTCACTCGAGGAAAGGATTCTAAGCATCTAAATCACCCGAGGCTTCTCCGAGTAACACTTAAGAATGCTACCGACGTAGAGGACGTCTTGCTAGCAAGTCACTTACTGAAATCAGATGGTAACGTAAGAATATTGCCCGACATACCGTACTCTGAGCGCAATATCATACGAAACGTCCCTAAAGAATCTCGCGAGAAGTTCTTCCGCGGAAGAAATATAATTGTCCAAGGTATACCGGAAAATGCAGACCCTACTCAATCAAATTCTGACATCAGGGAATGGAAATTCATCAAACAGTCCTTGAGGCTCAAACACATACTGACTCAGCATGTGACGAGACTAGCCAAGAAGGACGGTGATCTTAGACCCCGTCTAATGAAGATAACCTTCCCATCTTCCCACATGGCGGCTGCAGTTCTGGAAGCATTTCGTGCTAATAGACGTCGATTGCCACCTGGAATCCACATGCACCCGGATAGGCCATACGAAGTCAGGACCAAGAACAAAGGCAAGCTGGAGCTGACCATTCCACTTGTGGACTGTCTAAACGATAAAAAAACGTGTAAAGGACAGGGCCTACCACCTCGGCAAACCTCATATAGGTGGGCTACCTGTCCATTCACATAAGGTTCATACAGAAAAACAGGACGAAGCTCATGCGTTCCAAATTGAAAGCATAAACTGCTTATATATGAACGCCGCGAGTTTACCAAACAAACTGGATGAACTACGTGAACTTAGCAACGCTAACAAGGCCCATCTGATAGGAATATCTGAAACCTGGATATCTTCTCAGTTCTCGGATCAAGAGTTAGCATTGCCTGGGATGACTTTGTTCCGCAACGACAGAAAAATAGGAATTGGGGGCGGAGTAGCCATATACATAAGCTCTTGCTTGGAGGTGCACCAGGTTCACAACCTCGAGTTTAACAATCTTGAGGAATCCATATGGTGCTCTGTAAGGTTGTCTAGTACTTCCAGGTGTCTAGTCGGAGTCATTTACAGGAAGCCAACTGCCGACACCGAGTACGATAGTCGTATGCTGGAAGGACTATCCCGCTCTATCCGTCTCGGTTTCACACACATCCTGATTCTAGGGGACTTTAATCTCCCTAGAGTCAACTTCGCGGAACACACGTACACTGGAGGCGACAACTCAACTGAAGCTCGGTTCTTCAACCTCATCGATAACTTGGGCTTATATGAAAATGTGAGGTCGGCAACTCGTTGGAGAAACAGTCAGACACCATCGCGCTTAGACTGTGTATTCACTAACGAAGAATTCCTAGTCGACAACCTCTCAATCCTGGCTCCTCTGGGAAAAAGCGATCATGCCGTCATAGCCTTCAGTTTTGTCATCAAAACTAAGCTAAGGTATCCCAACAATAATTTGCGATGGAATTTTAAACGGCTGAATGTGCGAGCTCTACATGACCATCTACAACAGGTGGTTTGGGATGTTCACCCTCAAATCGATGTGGATGGTCATTGGGACTTCTTGCTGCACACGCTCTTATGTGCTACAGACCATTCAGTTCCTCAAACGGTTCCCAAAAGCTTCAAGCCACCTACAGTAATCAAGAACCGTACCCTTCGCCTCCTAAGCCGCAAACGGCACTGTTGGGCGGAATACAAACGAACTAATAACGATGGAGCGTATAGGCAATACAAACATATCAGGAACACATGCACGAAGGCTATAAGAGAAGACAGGCTTCAGTACCAAACAAAGCTTATGGACAAATTCGCCTCTAACCCTAGAAGCCTATTCCGTTATGCAGCCTCTCTTCGTCAAGCCAAAACAGGAGTTTCTCAACTGCTAGGTCCTAACGGCCCGACCAACAACGATGGCGACGCCGCTAACCTTCTGGCGGCCCATTACTCTCAAACATTTCAACCGGCTGATATCAACTTTACTCATGACAGTTTCATCTGCAATTCCACAGGACTTTCTGAAGTGGACCTAAGCGCTGACTTGGTGTTCCGGAAACTGCAGCACTTAAGACTTGACACTTCTCCTGGCCCGGATATGGTTCATCCTGCCATACTGAGGGAGGCAGCCTCAATCCTGGCAACGCCGCTTAGCGTGATGTTTTCACACTCGCTTAGCCGAGGCAAACTACCGGAAAATTGGAAGTTGGCTCACATCACACCAATTTTCAAAGGTGGTCGACGCAATGAACCTTCAAGTTACCGGCCGGTAGCTCTTCTGTCGTTACCTTCAAAACTCATGGAGTCCCTGATATGCGACGGTTTAAATGACTACCTACTGTCCTTAAATTTCTTCTCACCCCAACAGCATGGTTTCAGGAAGGGTTACTCTTGTATAACCAACCTGCTGACTGCGGTGGACAGATGGACAAGCATCCTCGATCGCAAGGGAAAGGTTGATGTCATTTACCTTGATTTCTCAAAAGCTTTTGATAAGGTTAACCACTTGTGTCTTATCAACAAGCTCAAACGACTAGGTATCAAACCACCTCTAATCGACTGGCTTACTTCATACCTAAAAAATCGACACTTTAAGGTTAGGGTTAATTTCACTTTATCTCAAGCTATGGAATGTCCTAGTGGGGTCCCCCAGGGCTCAGTACTAGGGCCTCTTCTCTTCTTGATCTACATAAATGATCTTCCTCAACAGGTAACGTCAGACTTATTACTTTTTGCCGACGACGTGAAACTTTGGAGAGAGATACGCAACCAAGACGATATACAGGCACTTCAAGAGGATCTGACTCGACTTCAAAGTTGGGCAGACGATAACGGACTTACCTTTAACACTTCAAAGTGTAAAGTAGTCCATCTGCGACATGTCGCAAACTACAGTTACAACTTAGGAAACTCCTCTCTAGTAGTATCCCAAGTCGAAAAAGATTTAGGAGTCCTGGTGCCCCATGACTTAAAGTCTTACGCTAATTGTGACAAAAATGCCTTCCGAGCAAACCTTGCACTGGTAACGTTGAGGCGCATTTTTGGTCAGTTTGACGGAAGAACTTTCCACACAATCTTCAATAGTTTCATCCGTCCCCATTTAGAGTACGGAAACATAGTACTCCCCCCTCACTCCAAAAGGATAAGGTCACTTTGGAGCGTATCCAACGGCGAGCCACGAAATCAGTTCGAGGACTCAAATCTAAGCCTTACGAAGAACGCCTCCGTTCACTAGACCTTTACCCACTAGAATATAGGCGTCTTAGAGGTGATTTATTAATGGCTTATAGTATTCTTAACACTTCTGGACATCCTCTTAAACACCTACTTAAGCTTAGTTCGAACAATAACCTAAGGGGTAACACCCAGAAACTGGAAACACAACATAGCAAGACGGAATGTAGACACAACTTCTACTCCTTAAGAGTTGTCAAAAGCTGGAACTCGCTGCCGGCCGAGCTAGTCCAAGCGACTTCTCAGGAGTCCTTCAAGAGGCAACTTGACCTATTCTTAAGGACCAAGGACAGCATCGCACTATGATTTACCAATTTCTTTTCCTCTTTTATTGTTAACATACCTAGGTTCCTGCCTGGAGGATTTGGTGATCCCCTGCTACTAGACACGGAAGCCTGTTAAGCGAAAGCTTCTTCTATTCCGTCCACAACCATTTGAACCATTTGAACCATTTGAACTCCCTTATGCAACTCTTAAAGAGCTATTATTAAGTCATGTAAAATGCACCAGTTTTGAATGCCGTGAAAGAGCGAAGTTTCATAAGATGGTTCGTCAAAATGACCAAAAGGCTCGGGAATTCATCCTTGAATTACAGAAACAAGCTGCCAAGTGTAATTTCGGTGATCAACTTCATGTGCAATTGAGAGATCGATTAATTGCAGGAATTAACATACCGAGTTTGGAAAGAGAGCTGTTAAGAATGCCAAACTGTTCCTTTCAAGATGCTAGAACTGCATGTATTAACTACGAAGCAGTCAATGAACTTGATATCCAGTCGATGAATATTTCTAATACTTTGCTTAGTCGTCGTGATGAACTACAATCTCAGGGTCAATCAAACTTGCGTTCATTTAACAGTGATTCTTATTCTCGTGTAAATATGAAAGGTGTTTCAACGAGGAATTACAAAGCAAATCACAAAGGTGAGATGAAGTTTGGTAAATGTTTATCATGTGGAAAGTTTCATGCTCGCAATTCATGTGTATTTCGTAATGCTAAATGTTTTAAATGTGGTAAGGTAGGACACATTCAGTCAGTATGCAAAGCTACTGTCCATTTTGCTTCGAGCTGTACTAAATCTTGTAATTTAAATTTCAATAATTCGGATGTTTCTAGTGATCATTTGTCTTTGTCCACTATTTCGAAGGGTAATGCTCATATTCAGAAGCGATTATATACATCGCTTGGTTCATTTCATGACTTTATTCTGGACACAGGCAGTATAGAGTCCATTATTTCATTCAAGAACTTGAAAGCTTTAGATCCTAACGTTGTTGTACGACCCACTGAAGTATCAATACTGGGGATTACTGGACACAGACTGCCCATACGAGGATGTTGTGAATTGCTAATCAGAGATGATAATTCTTCATACATACCTTGTGAATTTTTAGTTAGCGAAACAGGACTCTCAATATTGGGTTTAAAGAATTTGAAAAGGCTTAAGGTGGAGTTGTCCTTCTTAGTTTCTAAAGAAAATTCTGATACTTTACTTAAAGATTTGATAGCTATGTGTGCTAAGTGCAGTGGAGGTATGAAAATTAAGCCTATAAAACTTCAAGTACAGGGTGATCCCGTCTTTCTTAAAAGACGAATAATTCCTTATGGTCTTCGAGAAGCAGTACATAAGACATTAAACGATTTGTGTGTGAAAGGCATAATTGAACCAATCCAGTCTTCAGCATGGGGTACTCCTATCGTTACGCCACTGAAGTCGGACGGCAAGACCCCTAGAATTTGCGGTGACTATAGATTAACTCTGAACTCCCGTTTGTTGAAGCAAACGTGCACGACGGTAGAAGCTGAAGATATTCTAAATCGACTTCATGGTTCTAAAGTGTTCTCGAAAGTTGACCTAAAAGATGCTTATCTTCAAATTCCTTTAGATGAATCTTCATCTATTTTGACGACAATTAACACTCCTTTTGGTCTGTTCAAATACAATTTCCTTCCATTTGGTCTAAGTTGTTCTCCAGCCATATTTCTGGAAGTTATGAATAAAGTAGTTAGTGATCTTGAAGGTGTTGAAGTTTATCAAGATGATCTCATTGTTCATGGCTCTAATAAGGTAGTTCACGACCAGAGACTTATTGCTTTATTGCGTCGTTTAATTGAGAAGAATATAACAGTGAATCCAAATAAGTGTTCATTTTGTGTCTCTAGTTTTGAATGCCTTGGATACCTAGTTGATGGTAATGGTTTTAGACCAGATATGAAACGACTAGCTCCACTGACTAATGCACCGTCTCCGAAAAATCTTACAGAATTACGTTCACTAGTGGGTGCTCTTCAATACTATTCCCGTTTTATTCCTAATTTTTCTTGTCGTGCAAATTGTTTATTTAATATTTTAACATCAAATTCATTCAAATGGAGTGAGGAACAAGAGTCATGCTTACGAAGTCTGCTGAAGTTTCTTCAAAGTGATGCTGTTCTTCGAACGTACTCCCCTAATGTACATTCTGTGCTTATTACTGATGCATCACCTGTGGGAATTGGTGCAGTTTTGGAACAGGAAGGTAGACCAGTTATTTGTGTTTCACGCAAACTTACTGTTACTGAACAAGGTTATTCACAGACTCAGCGAGAAGCATTAGCTGTGTTTTGGGCTGTTAAAAGACTTCATAAATATTTATTCGGAAAGAAATTCACTATTGTTACTGATCATGAAGCTTTAATGTTTATTTATCATCCCAAAAAATCCTTAGCACGTTCCTCAGCAGCTATGGTTCAACGATGGATAATTGCTTTGAGTGCATATGACTATACGGTTCAGCACAGAAGTGCCAAACAGATTCAACATGTTGATTACATTTCTCGACAGTCATTACAAGATAAACCTATTAATACTTCGGATTGTTTGTTAGTGCAACCTTTACCAGTGAGACGTTTAGATCTCATTAGAGAAACTCGTAGATATTTTGGATGTATACTCAGTGCTATAAGGAAAGGTTGGAATGCTAATTTGAAACGGAGATTTCCTATCTATTTTTCAAAGCGGGATGAGTTATCTACTACTCCTGATGGTATTCTGTGTTTAAACGATCGTGTTGTCATTCCTCCTTCATTGCGTAAATCTGTTCTTGAAGATCTTCATAGTGGTCATTTAGGTGTTGAGAAAATGAAGTCCTTGGCAAGGCTCACATGCTGGTGGCCAGAGATAAATGCAGATATTTGTCGTACGGCAAACAATTGTGAGAAATGTCATCAGTTGAAAAATCATCCTTCGAAGTGGGTGCCATGGCCAGTATCGTCTGAGGCCTGGCAGAGGATTCATGCTGACTATTGTGGACCATTTCTTGGTAAATACTACGCACTAGTAGTCATTGATTCTTTTTCAAAGTGGCCTGAAGTTTTTTTCACAACTTCTCCAAATTCTGATTTCACAATACAAGCATTAAGAAAGGTGTTTAGTCGAGAAGGTGTTCCCTTGGTGTTGGTGACTGATAATGGCTCACATTTTGCTGCAGATGCAGTCACTACCTGGTTGAACGGTATAGGGTGCAAACATCTATTTACTGCTCCCAGACATCCGTGTTCTAATGGTCAGGCAGAGAATTTTGTTAGGACATTAAAGACTGCTATTGATTCTATATCCCCCTCAACATTTAATGAGCTGGAGAGGGGAGTAGATACCTTTTTATTGCAATATAGAAATGCCAAACATTCGGTGACGAAGGAGACTCCAGCGAAGCTATTGAAAGGAAGAATTCTTCGGTCGAATATGAGATGTCTGGAGTCTGCAGAAGTTACATACTATCGAGGAAATGATCTTCGACCATCTACGGGTATTGTTCTGAAGAATGTCGGAAAATCGATGGTGCGAATTCTAGACATCGATGACTTAAGTACACACAGTCGACATGTAGATCAAATACAATTTCAGGAACCAGGTGAGTCAGTTCCAATTTCGATTGTTAATTCTAATGCTAATGAGCATATTCTAGATAATACAGAATCCTTATCCAATACATTGTCAGACAGACTCAGGATGAATTTGAGAAGAAGACGTACGATTGATTACAAACACCTAGACTCCAATTTAAGCTGTGGCGGATGTGGTGTTTGAATGAACCAATGATACCTTTGTACTGGTTGAATGTTTGATTTCGAATTCTAAATACAATACATTCGTTTGTGCCTGTGTCTTCTTAGTTCAATTGCGTTAATCCTGGAATTCCTAGTTCATACGAGTATTCGAATATTATAGATTATTTACAAATATATGGAAGATATATCGAGTGCACCAAATCCTGATCAGAACTCTGATGTTATTTTGTCAGATGTAGTTTGTCCTAGCGATTCATTTATTTCTACTTAAATGTCAATTAAGTGTCAGGATCAGGTTCTAAATGGATCAAAATTCGATTGTAGTCCTTATGGTGTCGCATCAGCTGTTATCTGTAATCATAATGGATTTATCTTCAGTGATATCCTTAATGAATATAACAAATATGTTCCGAATCAGTAGAACTATAGTCACGTTTCTGATGTTATAGTATCAAATGTTAGATATTCTCACAACTAGTGTGTGTCGAGCAGAATCCCTAGTCAGTGGTATGATGATTCAGAGAGAATAGCAAGTTTTCCCGGAGCAGTCAGAGAACCAGTTTGGCCAGATATGAAGTCTGCACAGGCGGGGAATTCAGATCGAGTCCAAAGTTGTCTTAATGAGCATGAGACAAATGCATATTTTCCACTTGATTGTTTTGCAGGTGAATAAGGCCTAGATGAATCACATGTGTTAATTGCACGTATCACTGCATATTTATCTGATAACTGGAACAACGGCCTTACATATTCTAACGTGAGAAGCAAAAAGAATATGTATCATAGCTTTGTGTAAGTCGAAGTTACACGATGGAATGTCTTAAATTATGTCAGTATGTATCCTCAAATTCTCACATACTATAATCGAAGTGTGAGATATGAGGAGATGATGCGAATTGGGAATGTCAAATTGGTCATGACCTTGTGACATAAGGACCTTACATTATTTCGTCGGGAGGATAGTGTTGGAAAATCTATGGTTGGAATTTTAGATATCAGTGGTTTCAGTACACAGCCGACATATTGATCATATACATTTCCAGGACCCAGTTGAGTCTGTTGAAAATATAGTTGTTAATTCTAATGTTGATGAGTATATCCAATACGCAGTGTGACATCCATACAATGAACATAGGAAGGAGGCGTAAAATCGATAACAGAAACTTAGATTCCAGTTTAAGCTGTGACAGTTGTGGTGATTTTATGAACTAATGAACCCTTTGTACTTGATATGCGCCTGGTATTGAATTCCAAATACAATACGTTTTCCTGTGTTCACGTAGTTCCGTTTGGTCTAAGTTACGCTATTTTGGAAATTCCTAGTTCTTACGATAATTTTAATACTTTTAAATGAGATACGGACATAAGTGTTCTGGCTGTACCAATATACACGCTAATGTTTTTATTC